GAGAGGTCATGCAGGAGAAAAGAGAACTGAAGACAGAACCCTGGGGCGAACTTGGGACCAGATGAAGAAAGGCAAACTGGCAAAAAGAGAAAAGTCAACAGGCAGAAAGGTAAAGATTTTAAAATTCAGGAAAAAGAAATCGGAGAATTTCAAGGAGAGTGGTCTTAAGAGTCAAATGACGCCAAGAAATTGAAAAGCGTCCATTGGATTTAATAACCAAGCAGCATCTGGTGTAGCAAGAACAAGTGAATCGAATGGTCTGGGCAGAAGTCTTCTAGGCAGGAAGTTACAGAATGCATGAGTGGGAGAGAAGCTGAGAATGCGCCAGAGATCCATCGCCACCTGTTAAGTCTGCCATGATGAAGAGGAGAAGGGCGGCGGCTGCAGGGACCGAGGGTTGTTTAGTATGGCCGACACAGAATAACGGCCGCTCAACGAGGTCCACATCTTAATCGCCAGAACCCGTGAACATGTTACCTTACATGGCAAAAAGAATTCTGCAGATGTGATTACATTAAGGGTCTCAGAAGGGGAGCTTCTCTTGGAGTATCCAACGTAATCACAAGAGTCCTTTTAAGGGGGTGCAGGAGATCAGAGAAGAGAGAAGATGTTATGCTGTTGGCTTTGAAGATGAAGGAAGGAGGCCACAAGCCAAGGAACGTAAGCAGCCTCTTTCTTTGCTGGAAAAGCCTCCAGAAGGAATGGGGCCCTGCCAACCCATCCTAGACCCCAACTCCAGGACTGCAGGGGAAAAAGTTTGTGCTGCTACAAGTCACTAAGTTAACAGTAATCTGTTACAGCGGCAATAGGAAACATTCAGTTTTGTTTTCTTGGGTAAGAGAGGCTTGAGTTTACATACTAAGGAAAGAACAGAAGTGAAGCTCTGGAGACAAGAGAAAGACATTTTGTATTTTTGATAATAAAACTGAAAAATAAAGTTTGGGATAAAAGTTTAGGTTTATTCTCATATCCCAGAAGTTCTCTCTATGATCTCTGGCTGAATGCTGAAGAAGTGAAGTTCACCAGGAGATGGGAAGACATGGAATAAAGCACACAGGTGTAAGAATTAACCTTGGAAAGGAAAATGAAGCCTTCCTCCACTAACACAGAAAGGGAGGAAAGGAAGGGCATCGATACTGGTGGGCATAAGATGAACTGAGGAGGGTAATTCACTCACCAGAATTGTCTCCTGGGATCAGAGGTATTATTTACTGAGGAACTACTACACGCAAAGCATCAAATACTTGCCTAAATTTTCTTTCTAAAATGCCGCAAGATAGAAATCATCCACACTTGACACAGGGAAACGTGCCAGAACTCCTAGGATTCAGACACAAACCTGTTTGACTCAAAACACTACATTGAGAAATCTGGTAGACAGCACCATAACCAAGTGGTCAAGTTCAAACCACCAGTAATAAGACATATAAACATCATGCACGCCTTGATAAGACGTACCGAGAAGGACACATCACCTCTGTGGTATTCCTCTGCTCAAAGTGCAGCAACATCTTTATCAAATCACAAGAACACGTCAAACAAATTGCAGGGTATTCTGGAAAACAAATGACAAGCACTCTTCAAAGCCTCAAAGTTATGAAAGACAAGGAAAGACTGAGAACTGTTACAGATTAAGGGAGACCAAGAGACCTGACAAAGCGGCATGGGATCCTGGATTATATCCTGGACAGAAAAAGGGGGACTGGGTGTTAAAACTTGTGAACTCAGAATCAAGGTTGTTATTTAGTTAATAGTATTGTACTAGAGTTAATTTCTTCGCTTTGATCATTGTATTATGACCTCAAAATAAAAAGTTAAAAGCAACACCACTATACCGCACTGCTTCCACAGGAGCAAGCCCCTTACTTACCTATGGGTCTCACTCTCAGTCTATCCAAGACCAATCTACATAGCTCGAAAGCCTAGGGTTAGGCTCTGACCAGTGGTTAACAATAGCCCATATGCATCCTGGTCCTGACTCCTGATCTAGACTGATCTCTGACTCTTGCCTTGTCCTTACCACACATTCTGATCATCTAATCCCCGATGCCAGTCTCCAAAATAATATGCTCACTGGAGAGCATCTAAGTGAGGACGGGTGGGTAAATCCAAAGGGTACAAGATATATTAGATAAGCCAGCAAAGTGGCCTGAGGTCATAATGTATTCATCATCATTTTCATCTTCTCTCTTACACACTCACTTCTCACATTTGCAAACACATTTTCATAAAATATAAACATGAAGAGGAATTTCAACAGGAGCAGCATAATCTAAAACTTAAAAAATTACAGAATGCATCATAAAAACACAAAATTTGATATATTTTTTAAATCAGCTTGCTCACCTCTCATTCATTCCAGCAAACGGAAATATTTGCTAATATTATTTACTTTAGGATGATTATTGCTAAGGAGTGATCAAACTACATACAATATTTTGCAAATATTTATTCAGCCACTATTATGAACCACACATTGAACAAGGGTGCTTAAAAGAAAGATGTAATCCAACTTGTTTTTAAGTCCTTTGACAGTTAACTGTATCCACATTGAGAGATGTTCAGCTATGTCCTTTATATCAGGCCCTGATCTAGATCAGCAAGGTCCAACAGAGATATACTGCACGCTACATATATGTTTAAACTTTCTAGCTTAAATTTTCTAACTGCTTTTTTAAAAAGTGAAAATAAAAGATGAATTTTAATACTGTATTTTATATAACCCAATATATATAAAAGTTATCATTTCAACGTGATAATCAAACTAAAAAAAGACATAAGATAGTCACTTTTTTTTTCTTTTTGCATAATAAATCTTCGAAATCCACTTTGTATTATACATTTAGAGCATCTCAATTAGGACTAGTCACATTTCAAATGCTCAACAGCCACATGCAGCTAGTCACTACCTTACTGGACAGCACAGATCTTGATGCTACTTATTAAAGAAGAAAATACACTGAGTTATAGGGTTAAATTTCAATTCTGCTTTACTAATAAAATTCACTTATCTGTCCTACTTGGAAATCAATACATTCTCCTTTCTCCGAACTCTGTTTTTCCTTTAAACAATCATCCCAGAGAATATACTAGAGCTGCTAAGAGAAGCAAACACAAAGAATGATTAATTAAATTGAAAACTTGTTTCGGAGTGCAAGCTTTTTGAGTGTTTTTAGTTAAAAGAACACAGGCTATTGTGCCCTCTTCCAAAAATAAAATACAGTTTTAGAAAGCAGATACAGAAACATAAGGGGCCCTTTATTATGAATGACCCTCTGAAATCAGACCAGAATATGATTAAAATTTAAAAATCTGAGTCTACATACCCAAACACATCTTTGACTCTTACAGTCCATCATATCACTCACATTTAAAACATTCAAATACAATTAAAAGTTAATAATGGGAAAAGAATTTCAAAAGTTTCATTTAAAGCAAATTTCTTTTCCCAATGTAGACATATTTTTCCTTATAAAATACAAGTTACAAGTGTAGTTCTTCAGGTTCACTCTTTAAAGGATAGTTCACCCTTACTACAAATACTATGTTTGAAATGTTAATGATTTAGAAAACCCAAAAACTGCTATAATTTATTCTTGGCCTAATTCCACAGTACAACTATAAAAAGAAACAAGCTTTCTTTACAGGTTGAGCCGCTCAATTTTAAAAAGATCATTTTCACTGATTCCTTCCTAGCACAGTGTCTGGCACATGGTATTTTCTCAGCAAATATTTGTTAAAAAATGAATGAATATCAAGGAACATGCAGTGAATATTAGTACATCTATCATTTCAAAATTAAACGTTAAGAAGTGGACTCTTAAAAAGGCTTAACTAGATTCCATATGAAAATTGAAGCTACAGCTAAGAACACACTTCCCATCAGTTACTCTCCCGTAAGGCAACACTCCTGAGGAGTAGATATTCTCACCCCCATTTAACACAGGAGGAAGGTGGGAAGGTGGGGCCGAAGAGGTTGGGTCACGTAATTACGAAGCAGTGGAGCCAGATTTCAAGCCCAAGTTCTCAAACAAAACAGTGTGTGTGCGTGTGTGTGTTGGAAAGGGAGGTATGGAGTTTATGAAAACGCTATCCTATCCTTCTCTACTATAAAAAAAAATCCTATTACAAAGCTTCAGAAGAAAAACACACAGCCGATAGTTTCCAATTCCACACACACAGAATACACAACTTTTAAAGCAATTCAAATCCCTTTCCAGTGTTCCAGCAATAAGCAGGTTGATGAGAACTCCGTGCAGCCAGACAAGAGGGATCGCGGCCCAGGACACACTAGCAGCCGGGAGGAGCCTGCCAGCCCACCAGGCCCCTGCACCCAGGCCAGCGCCGGCCACCGGCCCAGGCCCCGTCACAGGGCCCCCGGCCCGGCCCGGCCCCGGCCCCCAACCCGACGGACCCCGCCCCAGCCCGATCCCGGCCACCCCCCCCGACGGCACCCCCATGCCGGCGCAGGCCCCCTAACCCGACGGCACCCCCACCCGACGGCACCCCCACCCGACGGCCCCCACAGGCCGGCGACGGCCCCCCAACCCGACGAGGCCCCCCCAACCCACCCCCCGGCGCCGGCCCCAGCCTCCCCACCCGACGGCCCCTAGCCCGGGCCCGGCCCCCTCACCCAACGTCCCCCAGCTCGGCCCCGGTCACCCACCCGACGGCCCCCCAGGCCCGGCTCCGGTCACACACCCGACGGCTCCCCCAGCCCGGCGCCGGCCCCCCAATCTGACAAGGCCCCCCAACCCGCCCCCCGGCGCCGGCCCCAGCCTCCCCACCCGACGGCCCCTAGCCCAGCCCCGGCCACACCCCACCCGACGGCCCCCAGCCCGGCGCCGGCCCCCTCACCCGACGTCCCCCGGCTCGGCCCCGGTCACCCACCCGACGGCCCCCCAGGCCCGGCGCCGGCCCCCCAATCCGACGGTCCCCCGAGCCCCGCCACCCGACGGCACCCCACCCGACGGCCCCCCAGCCCCGCCCCGGCCACCCACCTGACCGGCTCGCGCCAGCGCCGGACCCAGCCGCAGCAAGTGGCCATCAGACTGAACATCCCCGGCCGCTCCTCCCGCCGCCCATCCGAGCCCCGCCGAGTCCGGGGCCGCCACCGCCCCGAGGCCTCTGAGGCGGGGAGGCGCGGACGAGAGCCCGGCGGGGAGGCGAAGGCAGTCCGTCCGAGCTCCCAGCCCCGGCAACGGCGCCGGCCGCGGGAGGGCCCGACCGCCCCTCGCCCAGGGACACCGGCGGAAGAGCAGAGCGGCACCCGAGCGGGGGTCGCGGGCCGGCGGAGAAAACCCGCGTCGACGTGCTGACGTTCGCCCGGCGCGGAGGGTCCGCCCCGAGCACCGCCCATCCAGTCCTCCAATCAGCGCTGTAGGACTCGCGGTGCCGGCCTCTGAGTGGCTGAAGCGGCTCGGCTCGGGGGCGTGGTCTAGCAGGAGGTGGAGCTCGGGGAAGGTGGAGCTGGGGAAGGCGGCTCTCGTAACTAGGCAACGCGAGCGTCCCGAGAAGAGCGGCGGGATCCGGGACAAATCTTGGCGAGGCTCATCTGTAAGCCTGTCTAAATGCGTTGCCAGCCGAGGTGCTGCTCGACGTCTGTCTCCAACCACAGCTGAGATCCTAAGACCTCAGGGCTTGTGCGGGTTTTGTTTTGTTTTATGCAGCAGAGATGCGGATCCTTGGGGATTCCGGCAGACTGGCTGCACAACTACAGAAACAATACATTGGGGCAATTATTATAAATTAAGGACAGGGGAAAAACGCATTTGCTAACTACCTCAATAGGTCAGATGAAAGTGACGTTATAATCTGTATAATGTTTATTGCTATTTGTTACATAAAATGTGAAATGGAATTGTATAATATTTATTGTGTTGGGGGATTATGATTACTAGAAATATATGCTCATTGTAGAAAATTTGGAAAACACTAAAAAACGAAGATGAAGAAAATAAGATCTCTCACTCACCACCTAAAGATAACCGGGGTTAACATTTGGATGTGTGTTCTTTCCGGGATTTTAGATACATAGATGCTAGCTATTTGGTTTCTGCAAGATGCAGACCATGATCCACTGGCTGTTTTGTAATAGGTTTTATTCCATTTAAAGAGCTATGTAGGACCGCCCCTTGGAGGGGTAGTTAAAGTTCCACTCATTCTGCTTGGGCAGCCTGGCTTCCTGAGTTGGATCCCCGGCACTAGACCTATACCACTCGTCACCCATGCTGTGGCAGTGTCCCACATACAAGATACAGGAAGACTGGCACAGTTGTTAGCTCAGGGCAAATCTTCCTCAAGAAAAAAAAAGATATGTAATATCTGCATTTCTTTTTATATTCTTTGGAAAAGAAATGACAATACATTCCCATAGAAAAAAATGCATGCATGATATGTAGGGACCTATTCACGTATGTAGGGTCCATTCAGTTTCCACTTAAATATATATTTCAAATCCTTGTAAAAGGAGAAAGGGCCCTGGGAAGCCCAGTGTACCCAGAGGAAAACACTAGTTCGGGACTAAGATGGATCTAGGTTTAAAATTATTCTCTATCCTTTACTAACTCATGTAACCCCAATTCAAACTCATAAATATCTCTTACAGCTTACTGTCTCTGAACCCAAGTACCCCATCTGTAAAATGGGAACGAAAATACCTACTTTGCACAGTTGCTAAGATGATGAAATGAGAGAAATAAAGCTCAAGTGCAATTTCTAACAAATAATAGCAGATTTTGAACTTGGTATCAACTGTCCCATAAACATTTATGGCATGCATCCTCCCAACCTCTCTTCACACTGCTAAGGGTCTTGTCCACTGTTCTCATTGTTCTGCCTTAATAACTTCAATTTCCATTTCAATTGCTCAAGGCTGCATGACCTCTACTGGTTTCCTGAGTCTGCCCTTCTTCATCAGTGCTAGATGCTGCCTTTGCAGAGACAGCCCTGTCCTACATTGAAATACCTCCATTATACAGTGCTAATGAAGAACGTTAGATGATCCCTTCACACATTTTCTTCTCTCCCTGTTACCCCTGTTTCTTCTCATTTGCTAATAGAGATCTACTTCCTCTTTTCCAAGGTTATCCACTTTCCTGGGACTTGGACAAACATCATTTTTCAACTATTCTAAAATCCTCTTCCTTCAATTACTTCTTCTTGATCCAACATCTTAAGTGTATTCCTCTCCATTTTCGCCCTAGATCTTTGGCTACAGTCTCCAGGGTGGGGGAGGGGTAAGAGCACAGGGCAGGGAAGGCCACAATTCACTCTTAACTAGAACCCAGATTGGTACTGTTCTGCTGACTCTTTAATTTCACAACCCAACTTCTTAAACGAGTGGTTCATAAACCCTAAATCACTATTTGTGCTGTTCACTCTTTTTATCAATTTACTGTGATTGGGCTTCTGTCCCATCAAACTACTCAAAACATGGGGTTTTTTTATATATGACTTATGTCCTCCTAAGTACCAAGTCACTTCTCATTTTCTTTTGCATCACCTAATACATTTAATACAATCAACTCTTCTAAAACTCTTTCCTCCCTTGGCTTTTCAAAATTGTGCACTGTTCTGGTTCTTTTCTTGTCTCACTGATCATTCCTCCTCCAGCTTCCTGTATATATTCTCCAAGATTCGACCTTATCCCTCTGCTTTCCTCTTTAAAAACATTTTCTCTTGGAAAATCCAATTATTACCTCTGTGCCTTCCTATGCGGATATCCCTTGAGAGTTTCTGCAATTATACTCTACAGCCTTGCTTTCCAGAATATACTCCACCCAACCCTACTTCCTGGCCTCCCTGGTTACGATAGTGAGGCATTACCAAATATTTCTGGTGCCAACACTCAGTCATCAATTAGTTAACTGAGCTGAATATTCGTCTTCAATATATTAAGTGGTTTGGTAGACATAAGTGCTGCTCACTATTTCCAGTTCTCTTTTCCTTACAAGCACATGAGATAGTTATTCCCACTCTCTTAAAGTCATGAGACTTGCTTTGTCTAGTGAAATATGAGTGGTAGCGTTTGTGTCACCTCTTGGTGAAAGGATTTAAAAGCTGGTGCACAATTCATGTTCTCTGTTCCCTTGTGATGTTAATATAACTTTGAAGTCCTATAAAATCCAAACACCATGGAATGCTGAGCCAGCACATGGAGAACAGCTGCGTGGAAAGTCCTACAGGGACTTCCTATGAATAAGAAATAAACACTTGTTATCTTAAGCCACTGCGATTTTGTGGCTGTTTTACCACATTATAATCTAGTTTATTCTGAATGATGAAAACAGTCTTTCTGCCATCATTCTAGTTGAGAATCTCATTTCATCTCCAAGAGACTGTTGAAATAGTATCCTAATGTTACTTGGTTTCCTTTTTTTTCTTCCAGCTTTATTGAAGTATAATTGGCAAATAAAATTGTAATATATTTAAAGTGCACATTGAGAAATGATTCCCACAATTGAGTTAATTAATATATCTATTACCTCATATAGTTACCTTTTTTATTTTTTGGTGGGAACACTTAAGATCTACTCTCTTAGCAAATTTCAAGTGTACAGTACAGTATAATTAACTACTGTATAGTCATCATGCTATACATAAATTAGATCCTCAGAACTTATTCATCTTATAATTGAAAATTTGTACCTTTGACCAACCTCTCCCCTTTTCCTCCTCCTCCAGCCCCTGGCAACCACAATTCTATTCTCTGTTCTATGAGTTTGACTTTTATTTTTTTTTAATTCCACATATAAGTGATATCATGCAGTATTTGTCCTTCTCTTCTGGCTTATTTTACTTAGTATAATGCCCTCCAATTTCATCCATATAGTGGCAAATAGCAGGATTTCCTTCTTTTTTTAAGGCTGAATAATATTCCATTATATATATATATACACATAGTGTGTATGTGATATATATCTACAATATATAAATACATATTCATATAATATATATTTATGTATAACATTTGCTTTATTCATTCACCCATAGACAGTTTGTTTCCATATCTTGGCTATTGTGAATAATGCTGCAATGAACATGGGAGTACAGGTATCTCTTTGAGATAGTAACTTCATTTCCTTTGGAATATATACCCAGAAGTGGGATTGTTGGGTGATATAGTAGCTCTATTTCAAATTTCTTGAGGAACCTCTATACTGTCTGCCATAGTGGCTGCACCAGCTCATAGCCTCACCAACAATATACAAGGGTTGCCTTCTCTCCACATCCTTGCCAATACTGGTTATTTGTTGTCTAAATGTTACTTGGTTTCTAATCTTTCCCTGTTCTAATCCATTTTGTAAACACTTAACAAGGTAACATTCTTAAAGTACAACCATGAAAATCACTCCCCTTTCTAAAACAAACAAACCCAGAAAAAAACAAACAAATAAAACAAGACCAGTCCTTACTGCCTGTAGTTTAAACACTTTAGTTCAATTGTTTGTTAGCTTTCACTAGGCTAATATTAAAAGATTATTGTAGAAAAATAAAATATATAAACTGGCAAAATGAAAATGATCCATAATCCCACCAGGGGAAATGATCACTCGATATTTTGGCATAAATATTCCCAAGCTTGCATTGTTAAATTGAATTTAGTTGAATGATTATGTACCAGTCACTTTTCTGCGCACTAGGAATATATTTGTGAACAAAACATTAAAAAATTCCTATGGTCATGGATCTTACATTCTAGTGGTGGGAGGGATGGGGAGGCAAATAATCAACAAAATTAATAAGTAAATTAGAAAATCTACTAGTAGAAGATGACATGGAGAAATGTCAAACCAGGTAGGGAATGGGTTTAGGATTAGGACTGGGTATGGGATTAGGTTAGAAGTTAAATTTTGGACGAGATTTAGTTACATGTACAGAAGTGCACTGAAAAAAAGTTTTGGCCGAATAAGATTGACCAAGTCTTAATTAATATTGAGCTTAAGCCAGATATCAACGTCACACAATAAACTTCTGAGACAAATTAAAAATCCAAAAATTTTATCCAAAGACGTATTATTAAATTTTAATATTAAAGATTTCAGTACCTGATTTTTCAAAGTTTGACATTACAATGTAGGTAGGATACATAATTTTTCAGCACTGACAACTATTGCTGGCACTGTGATGCACATTTGTGGTATTAAAAAGATATTCACTTTCAGCTGAAATCTTTGGAAGGGCAAGATTTTTCTTTTAGGAACTCATGTTTCTCTAACTTTCCCTTCTTCATAGTCTTCATATTCTTTTTTTATGTCTCTATTGGAGGTGAGTTGTTACCAGTATTGTAGATTCATGATTTTGGAGGTTTTCCCTCCTCATGAAATTTTGAGATCTCAAAGTTGATATTCTACTCTTAATTTTTCCTCAGAAGATGAGACTCCCAAATCAAGCTTTTGGTTGAAAGACTTGTGGCCTAAGTGCATTTAAATATTTAATAATCACTTAGAGTTCATTTTGTTTAATGTTATGATTGCTAGCACACCTAACAGTTCTACACTTGGGGCTGGGAATAGAGTGAGTAGACTGACATGGCAGAGTCAGACACAGCAAGAAGGAAGAGAATTTAAAAGCAGAACGGGTCATAGATATATTTAACAATTCCTTTGCAAATGTTCTTATCAAAAGAGTGACTCTATCAACTTCCATCCAGCTGGGTCACAGAACCATAGGAAGCTAGAGCTGAAAGAGACTCTTGAAAGATGATCAGCCTACGGAATTTCACTCACACACAGGAAATGAATTGTTATATTCCTTTGGGCAGAACTACTAGAAGCGATGATGGTCAATATACCACACTAATTGCTTTACGTGTCATATCTCTTTAGATTCTTACATTAACACTATAATTACTGCTATCCCCACTTTTCAGATGATTCTACTGGGGCTTAGAGAGGGTACCGATCCGCTAGAAGTTACACAACTAGTAAGAGGCGGAGCGTCGCTGTTTACATCCAGGCAGTTTAACCCCACGACCAGCCTTAAACATTAAGTAACATATTTCGAATATGAAGGTCTAAGCACAAAAAGTAGAGGTAATATGCAAACAACAAAACGAGCTGTTTGAAGGACATGAAATGTAATACATTCTCTTTTTTCCCCAAAACATTATTTGCTAAAGTTTTTTATACCATACATGCAAGGACAAGATAAAAACGTGGACGATCAAAACTACCCCATTTGCTCCATTCTCTCTGTTCTCTGCAGCCTTCCTGGGTCACTCGCTGCTAGATTTTGGTTAACGTCCTCATCCCCAACGTCAGTCTCTCACGAGCCTTCCAAGCCTGATGCCCTGCGCTCTGAGTCCTCAAAGTCCTCTTGGCCTCTCAGCCCGACCCCCTCCCCCCGCCCCCCAGGTCTCTGCAAGTGTTTACGGCCTTCTCCCTTCCCCTTGGGAAACTTCACATTCCGGAGAGACGGACGCAGCGCTGGGGTTTGGGATCTTGAAGGAAAGCTGTCTCCACAGTGTTTACCAGGCCTCGACACTCTCCCTGAGCCCGCCCCCAGCTCCGAAAAGCTTCCTGGAGACGTCCCGCTTATCACTCCCCCGGGCTGGGGGCGGGAGCGGGCGGTGCCCTCCGCCCCGGGCCCCACTGTCCCCAGGCTGCCCCCCGGCTCCGGCTGGCCCCGGCTGGCCCCCGGCTCCGGCTGTGCGCTGTGCGCTGTGCGCAGCCTGCAGAGAGCGACGCCCGCAGCCTGCAGCTCCGCCGCCCGCCGCGCGCCCCCGCCCTCGCCGCCCGCCCGGGTCCCCGCCGCGCGCCCCCGCCCGGGTCCCCGCCGAGCGCCCCCGCCACCGCCGCGCTCCCGGGTCCCCGCCGCCCGCCTGGACCGCCCCCGCCTCTTCGCCATGAGGGTCCCGCGGGGGCGCTGCGCTGCGCTGCTGGCGTGCCTCGCCCTCGCGCTTCCCGTCTCCGAGGCAAACTGTGAGTAGTCAGTAGCGTCCCTTCTGCTTTGCCCAGCCGCGCCGACTCGACCGGGAGCCCTGGGGGCAGGATTTTCTCTCCTGCGAAGTTTGCGTAAGTCCCGACCGTCATGGAAGCAGCGCGGTCTCCGGGCGGCTTAACGGTGGGCACGGTCGATACCTGCCCTGCTCTGGGATCCTGTGTTGCCTCCAGGACAGGTTCAAGAACCTAGGTGACGCTGAGTGCCAGTGAAGGAATTAGGACGCCCACCCATTTGCCCCAGACACCTGGAGCTCGCGGTCAGAGGGCAGGGAGGGGCGCGTGCCAGCGCGGAGCAGGGAGGGAGCGGCAGCCCACCCTTGGCAGGAGCGCCGGTCCCAGCCAGCCCCCTGCTGTCCCCCGCCTCTCTCTTGCCACTTCTGGACTTTGAGTCTGTTTTGCTTATCTCACCATTGACAAACGGATTGTTTTAGGATGACTGCGGGTTTGCATAGTAGATCTCGTTTTCTAACCTTGAAATCAAAAGGACTGTTAAATATTGTATTTCTCAGATTATTTTGTCCTGAGGATTTTTGACGCTGACTGCCACTAATCTGAGTTCGTGGAGTGAATTCTTTGTACTCTATTTTTGTATTTCCAGTTCTTTATTTTCCCATGCCTGGATCCAAAGCAGGATATATTGAGTTTTCTCTGAAAAATATATAAGGAATATCGAGGCATTTAGTACATTTTATTCGTCAGTTAATTCGTTTGTTTTCTAAAGTTTAAGCATGTTCATTGATTAAAAATGCTTACTTGTGCTTTGTTTTATTCTCAGGAAATGGCATAGGGGAGATAAACTCTGAATTACAAATAACTTCTAAGCTGCCTAAAGCTCCAATGTAAACTTTTCAAAGATGGTAATTTCAGGAGAATTAAATAGGAATTTACTATTTTTTATTAATTACTGATCAGTATGAATATCAATATTTTAAAATTCTAATTTAAAGGCTAAAACATTATTTGTTGATCATATATTAAAGATCATATATTAAATAGCAGAACTTCAACATTCAAACCACTATCATCAAGCCTATATGTGCGCTACAGGCACAACCTCATTATCTGCATAGTTCATTAGGACAATCACATATTCACTTGGTAACCAGTGTGTTGGAGAGGAGAAAGAGACAAAATTGGCATGCCACACTTACTTCTTGTCATCCCAGGAATTTTCTAGGCCCTTTCTTTTTATAGAAATCGTTACATTTTCAAGGAATCTAGGCAGAGTTAAAAATTATGTGTGTTTGTGTGTATTATATACAGGTATTCAAACCATGTATAGAGAGAAATATGCTTGCTATATATAGACTCTGATAGAGTAGATAAGTTAATTCTATGTCACATAAAGAGTAGTTGGCCCTATAATGCTTTCATTTAAAAAAGTATGATAGTTTAAGTGGATTAAAAAGCATCTTGGTTTACTGATGAGGAAACTGGGATACAGATGGAATGTTTTTACTCCTTTACATTTTAAATTTGAGATAGAACTCTCAACATTTGATTTATTATTCATTGTTTGGTCCATAGAAATATAGTTGTTATTTAAAGAAAAAACATTTACAAATCACACTTTTAGTTTTGAGAGAGTTAGAAATCATCTCGTTTAACCTCTTCATTTTAACAGTAAAGAAATTAAGAGATGTTAACTGACTTTCCAGACATTATGTATGTATGTATGTGTGTGTATATATATATATAAAGAGAGAGATTTAAAATATATACTCTCCACGTATTTTATATCATTTCCCACTACGGGCTGTGGTGAAGAGATGTCCACTTTGGCTGTGCTACTTTGGCTGTATTCAGACTTCCACTTCTGAGTGGGTGCAGTCTGCCCTCAACATTACTGAATCATATTTTCCTTCTCTTTTTTTACTCTCTTCTTTCCTTCTCTAACTATTCCTTTCACTGTTTCTCTTTGTCTTTTCTTAAATTCTCTTTATTTCAGAGTCCAAAATGTTGCACTGATGGAGAGATTTTATCAAGGTTAGGTTAGAACTGGGGTTGGTGTTGGGAGAATTAGAGACAATTTCTGGTATACGACAACAACAACAACAACAAAACCCTATGCCGTGTTCTCTTACCGTTATTTCTATGCTAGGAAACACAGTAATGCTTTTCATAATAGGCCTTTTCTGTCCACCAAGTTCATTACCTTCTTTGTAGCTAAATGATCTATATACATACTTAAACTTTCCAAGTATCATGAGAAAAAAATATTATGAGAAGCTTGATAATACACGTATCAGTATTCTTTAGGTTTAAGCCACAGTAACAAACTCTTGCTAACTAAAGCAGAAAGAAAGAAAGGAAACAAAGAAAGAAAAAGGAAAACAGAAAGAAAGAGCAGGCAGGCTAGCTGACTGAGTGGACTGATTTATTGGAAGGCTACTGAGTGGCATGCTGAGTGACCAGGCCTAAGGAAGTCTCGGGCATTTAGGTGGTCTATGTAGTGGGAACGCGCGTGCTCAGTTAGGAGCCGCCATCGGATGACTCAGTTCTAACTGCCTTCTCTGCTCCTGGTTGAGTCCTAGAAGAGAGAGCCTATTCCTTTGGGCTGAGTTTGTCTCTGGAGTCCTGTGACTCCAACTCACTAGCTTCAGGTAGAGTGCCAGAAGGACAGCTTCCACAAAGGGTGGATGCTGAGAAGGAAGCATAGACAAGAGAAGTCCACATACACATGTGCCCTTCTCTATAAACACCATTTGAAAATATGGCAAATATAATGCAAATATCTCTAACATAATGCATATAACTAATGTAGCAGAAAGGACCCTCCTCAGTAGATTCCAGTCACCACACTCAGAGAGGAGGCTCAAGGCTCCCGTTTCCTAATGTACGATCATTAGTTGATGTCCATGTGTCCTCTAGTTCTGTCACAATCCCAAGTCAGTGTGCTATGCTTTATGGATGAAATGATACATTGTACTGTACCAACACATCCTATATGCCAAAATAATAGTAGTAAAATAATAATAATAATAATGATGATGATGATGATAAAAGATAAGCAGGGGAGTACAGGTCTCTCTGGTGGTAAGCTGGAGCTGATACTTGTGACTCCCTCCTTCCCTACCCGGTGCGTCTCTCTCTTGCTCTCCGGCAGTTCTTCATGTCTGTTTTTGTCTGCTCAGTGAGATGAGCTACACCCTTATTCAGGAAGGATCTGACCCCTGTGGTTCCTACCTGTGGATGGTTGTATCTGTCTCTTCTTTTACCATTTCTACTGTGTACAATAGTTATCCTGGAGGAGCAACACTCCTTCTAATACTGATTTACATGTGACAACAACACTATTTTGGCTTGATTATTGTCATTCCAGTATAATACTCTTTTTTTTTTTCAACAGGAGTAAAGAACTTGAAATGGCTGCATAGCAGTCTCAGCTTCTAATTTCGTGGAAAATATATTAGGTCCCTAGTGAATGTATTCCTCTCTGGTTTCCAATTTCTAAATGAGCAGAACTCAGTTGTAATAAAAGCAAAAAAATTTGAGAATAGGTCATTGAATTATGGCTGTCATAACAAAGTACTACAAACTGGGGCCTTAAACAACAGAATTTATTGTCTCACAGTTCTGAAGGCTGGAAATCTGAGATCAAGGTGTCAGCAGGATTGGTTCCTTCTGAGGGCTGTGAAGGAGGATTGGTTCCATGCCCATCTCCACCTTCTTGTAGCCTCAGAAATTTCTTGGCTTATAGATTACATAGGCATTCTCCCTGTGTTTTCATGTCATCTTCCCTCTGTGCATGTCTATCTCTGTTCCAGATTTCCTCTTTTGTTAAGGACATCAGTCATATTGGATTAGAGCCCACCCTCATGACCTTGTCTTAACTTGATCATCTTCAAAGCCCCTATTTCCAAACAAGGTCATATTCACAGGTACTGGGGGATTAGGACTTCACTGTCTTTATAGAGGACACAATTCAACCCATAGCAGTCCCTAAGCATCATATCATGACCAGTACTTTTTCCTTTCTACATTCATTTCTGACCTGTGTATTTTAGTTTTAGGAAAAAGAGCACCATATATATGTATATATGTGTGTGTGTATATATATATATGGTGCATATATATGTATATATATATTGATAATACACATATCAGTATTCTTTAGGTATAAGCAACAGTAACAAACGCTTGCTAACTAAAGCAGAAAGAAAGAAAGGAAAGAAAGAAAGAAAGAAAAAGAAAGAGCAAGCAGGCTAGCTAACTGAGTGGATTTATTTATTGGAAGGCTACTGAGTGGCACAAAAAATAATATATATATTTTTTAATGCTGTTTTATGAGGAAGATTGATTGACCCTGAACTAACATCTGTTGTCAATCTTCCTCTTTTTTTTTCCCTCCTCAAAGTCCCAGTCCATAGTTGTATGTCCCAGTTGCAAGTCCTTCTGGTTCGTCTATATGGGATCAGTCCACAGCATGGACTGATGAGCTGTGTGTAGGTCTGCCAGGATCTGAACCAGTGAACCCCGGGCCACCGAAGTGGAGCGCACGAACTTAACTGCTACACCATGGACTGGCCCCTGAGCATCATACATTAATGATTACTGGTACAGAAAACATACCCCATTTTTATTTTACCACATTTTGGAAGATAGTGTTGTGTCCCAAAAGGCAGTGACTGAACCCTCAATAATTGGTCAGTCCATCATTACATAAGGTTAGCTCCTTCCACATATTAGGGTACACGATAAGAAAAAAATATAAATGAAACTGATGAAAACCATATAAATCATCCCAATGACTTATTTCCTTGACAGAGGAGTTAAATCCTTATTTAGAGGTAAAGTTGTGTGGCTTAGCAGAGAGCATTGAATAAGTCTGCCCATAGTGGTGCTGATAAAAATTTAAGTGCAGATATAGAAGAAATGTCTCCCTTCTGAGTACAAATTGCTGTTCCTCTGTGGTAAAACAGCCCTAACTAATCAATCACCCACCAGGTATCCGATTGCATTTTGCAATATGTCCAATT